GGCCAAGCAGGAGCCAGCAGAGTGTCCTCAGAGCACAGGGCTGCCTCCCTTCCCACCAGTGCTCCCAGCTGGGCTGGGGGAGCAAAGGGCACCTGGACTTCATGGAGAGAGCCTTCCAAAGGCCTGCAGAGGGGAGGAAAGCACTGGAGCACCTGACACACACAGGTAGGAGGCTCAGAAAACTGGGACTGCTCAGCCTGGGGAGCAGAAGGCTCAGGGGGAACCTTATCAATGAACAGCTGATGGGAGAAAGTGAGGAAGATGAAGCCAGACTCTTCTCAATGATCTCAAAAAGGCCAGGAGAGCAAAGGTAGAAAATTCCATTTAAAGGTCAAAAGCTGTGGTAGTGGCCAAACAGTGGCACAGGTGGCCCAGAGAGGTTGGGAAGTCTCCATCCTTGGGGATCCTGAAACCCTGGCTGGGCATTGCCCTGCTATAGGTGACTCCACCTGGGGCAGGAGGGGTTGGGCTGGACCATCTCCAGAGGTACCTGCCAACCTCAACTCTTCTGTGCCTCTGAAATCAGCTTCCTGCAGCCATTTCACCTTCAGCGGGTGGGCAAAGGAGACAAAAGGTAAAAAATGCACAAACTCTTCCATAGAAATCCCAGTTTTACTGCTGGGCCTCTTTAGCTTTTCCCATTAACTGTTCCTAGGATTCTCTGGGAGCCTGGTGCACAGCCCTCAGATGCTTTAACTGTGCCATGAATATTTTAAAAACGAGGGAAAGCAAGTTACCAGCAGCATGAACTTGTTCATACACTGCGTGGTAGAAGGGAAGTATTTTGTAACTTGGTTACCATTTCCCAACTCTGCCAACTCTGGTACCTAGGCAGGAATTCCACATCCCTTCTGAGGCTCCATGTTTCACCCCTCTGCAGTGTTTCTGTCCTGCCTTTCACAGAGCTTGACGGCCTCCTAAATTTATTAAAATACGCCTCATTCCCAACCCTTCTCTTATACATTGGTTCTTCAACTGCAAATCTCCAGGTTTAACACAAAAGCCAAGGTTATTTATCAAAAATACAACAGTAAAACCATGCTTTTTAACCTAAAACTTGAACCAAAAAGCCTAGAACTCTTAAAATTGCACTGTATGGTTACATTTCCTACAAAAGGGCACCGAACTTTCTGATAAAGATCACAATAAAATGCCACTGACCCTTGTTTTATGGGTGAAATTCAAGCCTATACATTTATATAACCTCCACAACGCCCTTTATTTATCTCTATGGCACACCAAAAACCATCCAGCATGCGGAGCACAACCTACCTAGAGAGAAAGACTCTCTTCTCTTATGCAACTGCTCCACTAAGGCTCCGTTACCTCGGAGCACCGGGGAGGGCTGGATCCCGGCGAGCATCCGAGCATCCCTGCTGGTCCAGGGCGGCAGGGCCGAGCCTGCCCGGCTGCCAGCCCGGGCTGCAGGGGCTCGGGAGCGATCCCGGCACACACACACACAGGGGGAGGGATGGAGCTCTGCTGAGCGATCCCGGCACACACACACAGGGATGGAGCTCTGCTGAGCGATCCCGGCACACACACACGAAGGGAGGGATGGATGGAGCTCTGCCGGAGCGATCCCGGCACACACAGAGGGATGGATGCTGCTCTGCTGAGCGATCCCGGTACACACACACACACAGAGGGATGGATAGAGCTCTGCTGGAGCGATCCCGGCACACACACGGAGGGATGGATGGAGCTCTGCTGAGCGATCCCGGTACACACACACACACACACAGGGATGGATGCTGCTCTGCTGAGCGATCCCGGCACACACACAGGGATGGATGTTGCTCTGCTGAGCGATCCCGGCACACACAGAGGGATGGATGCTGCTCTGCTGAGCGATCCCGGCACACACAGAGGGATGGATGCTGCTCTGCTGAGCGACCCCGGCACACACAGAGGGATGGATGCTGCTCTGCTGAGCGATCCCGGCACACACAGAGGGATGGATGCTGCTCTGCTGAGCGATCCCGGCACACACACACACACACAGGGATGGATGCTGCTCTGCTGGAGCGATCCCGGTACACACACACACACACAGAGGGATGGATGCTGCTCTGCTGGAGCGATCCCAGCACACACGGAGGGAGAGATGCTGCTCCCTCAGAGCGGAGTCATCACTCCCTGCCTGCCTCAGCACGACCAGGAGCCCACGGAGGGGCTGGCTGGAGCTTTAGTATCATATTTTAATAGCTACATTAAACAAAAGCACCTCTCCAATCCTTAGCTGTTGGGTTTTTTTAACCCCTTTTTCAACTGGCAAAATTAAGTTAATTTTGCCAGTTGAAAAAGGGGTTAAAATTAAGTAATTTCAAATTAATCAGAAATGTGTGCTTTTAATCATGGTGGGGGGAGAGGTTGACATTTGATCAGATCATGTATAATCTGACCAGAATTAATCAGAGCAGTACTTGCTAAATTTCACATCCTTCATTGTGTCTCCTTGAAAACACAATAAAAAAACCTGGCAAAAAAGGCAGCTTATTCTCCACAAGGTTTCCCAGTCAGGTTAATCAAATGAACCACTTTGGTCCCTTCAGAAGATGATTTTAGGTGCAAGCTGTAAAAGTGTTTCCATTTCCTAAGGGAGGTGGGGTCCATTTGGAGAACCCCCACTGCTGGAGTCCTGCTGCAGTGCAATGGGCTCTCACTGAGTGGGAGAGGGAGTTACAAGGTCAAGACTTCTACATTTATTCCAAAATGGAACACGGAATTACTACCTACACAACTGGCATTTGACAGTGTGAACTCCAGGATGAAAATGGAAAAAAAAAAAAATTTAAAAAGCAAGAACACTTTTAACATTTTCATACGTTAGCAGGATGTAAGCTCGCGGTTGCTGTATTCAGACAGGAAGATATATAAATATATATTGAGTAGGATTCAAAAAATGTTGCATCCCTAATCCAACAGCACTGGGAAAGATAAGCTGAACATTTTAAATGCTGGGGGAAGACGAAAGGGGAAAAGAAAATCTTTCCAAGCTGTTTCCTGGATACACGGTATGAAATTTAAAAGGAAAAAAAGCACTCACAAAAGTGACTTCACAGCAGCTCTTAGAAGAACAGTATGATACCTAGTTCATCATTACCATGTCTTCTGCAAGCTGGAATCCTGCTGGGAAGCATGAAACTCTTCCAAGCTGTTCCAGTATACATGCATGCAACCTTTTTATATATGCAGAAAGCATGAGGGATATCACGCCGGTTTGGTTTGCAGCAGAGAAGAAAATTGACCTTTTCCATAAAAATGAATGTATATTTAGCATTGATGCGGGCCAAAATCAATTCTCTATAGAAATGAAGACAGACACACAAAAAGGATGAAAAGGGGGCCATACAGAGAAAAATAAATAAATAAAAGGGAAAAACCTTCATGCTGCATTGCTCTACACAACTTATCTACGAGCCTTATCTTATTGCCTTATTCACAAACTTGCTCATTTTACCAGCACTACAGGGAAAATGTGAACCACCTCTTCACAGGTAGCAATTTGGATTAAAATGAGAGGAGCATGAACAAAGTAGAAGCTGTCTGTGATCAAAGACCTGCTGGATACCTGAGTCAAACAGTTATTCCAGAGCAAGGTACAAGAGCCAGTCATGCATATGGATGACCTCTCACAAATTAAATGCTAATCAGGAATGCATCTCAGCAGTAAGAGAAAAACATGTGGACTACGAAGTCGATCTGTAATCCCTTCTCTAAGCAAATACTAACAAACCCCCCACCCCCCCGTTACCGATTTCATACCACAAACATCCAACATCAGCCTCACATGCCAGCAATAAAAGCGCAATTTTCCCACGTTGGACGTGCCAGCTCTCCTCCAGCCATCCCAACTTGTGTCACATCCCTGCAATCCTTCCCCAGCCCCACCACAGAAAGCAATCCGGGGGTCAAAGCCCAGAAACCCTGAGGAGCAGGGGTGTAAAAGGTTTCTCCTGAATCGGAGCCGTTCCCTTGGAGCCCCTCCAGCACTCACCTTGCAGAAGGAGCAGGAGCAGCGGGCTAAGCATCCGCTGGTGGCTGCCTGGGAGCCCCGGGACTGCCCACAGCCATGGCCCCGGCAGCCCTGGGGACGCTCAGGGAAGTGCCCCGGCTGGGATAGGACGAGCCTAAAGTCGGGACTGGGGAGGCTGGGGCAGAGCCCGGCTGCTGGCGGAGCGCAGGAGCTGCCAGCGCCGCAGGCGCGGATCAAACGCACAGAATCTCCCTTTACATAATCGGAAATGACTCCCGGAATCTCAGGGCTTCTCTTAAAGCCTTGGGTGCCTCACAAGCAGCCAAAAAAAGCTTTTTCCATGCAGCGTTCAGTGGGTTTAAAGCTGATTCTTCTTTTGGTTAAGTAGATAAATAAATAAATAAATAAATAATGGAAGTCTATCTGTCAGAAGTCTTAATTAATATACCATACACCTCAGGAAAGCCTTTCCCCATCTTCCCACAGGAAACACCATGCATGGTAAGAAGGAATTACAGAAAATTCCCAGTTTCTTCCACATTATTTTCTAGTCCATCTCAATACAAAGGCAATGCTTGGGGCTTTTAACCTGCATGCCCTTTACTTTCAAACAAACGCACTGAAAAACTATAAACAGCTCTATAAAGGAAGTCAGCTGAAGATTATAGATTTTTCTAACATGAAATAGCTTTGCCTATCGCAAGAGAACAATAAAGTTAGAAAAATACAACAGTCAAAGTGTACTGCTCACATTTTAGTGAAATGTGAGCTTCTGAAAGAAAAAAAAAAAGGCACATCCGATTCTTACCAGCAATGATAAAAGCAAAATCCCATCCACGTGTTTTCCTCATCACTAAAGAACTGATTTAATCAAAATCAAGCCCATACGTTTCAAAAACAAGATCATGCTGAATTCTCAACCTACCGAAGCCCAGCAAACGCTTTCTGATGCAAGAGAGCCTTTTAGCTATGCAGTTTCTCTTTGACCTTACAGAATAATCTACACGAGTCGCAGCATTACCTTTGCAGAGACTCCCGGGGCACGAACCAAAACCTAATGCATCACTCAGCCTCATTCCCCACACCATCTTCCCATCAGCTCGCGCCTTCCCCGGCAGCAAAATGCCAAATTAACGAGCTCAGGAACGGAAAGGGGGAAAAGATTTTTTTTTTTTTTTTTTTTTTTTTATTATCATCATCACCATCATCGCCACCATCACTATTGCTCCCGTGCTGTGGATGTCGCTACTTACTCGGCTAAGACATGCTCCCCAGCGCAGCGGCAGCCTGCTGGCGGCTAGCGGGCGGAGGGCTCGGGGCTCGGCATGGGCGCGGGCAGGCGCGCAGCGGCCGCGGAGGAGCCGCTCTGCAGACCGTACCACCAGCGCGGAGGGGAGGCAGCGCCCGCAGCATCCCCGCACCGCACCGGCACCGCACCGCACCGCGGGGACACCGCGCCGCGGCCGCTCGCGGAACGAACCAAAAAATAAAAAAAAATAATAATAGTAATAATTTAAAAATAATAAAAAAAATATGGACTGAACCACCATGTTTGTTGTTTGCGATTTTTTTTTTTTTTTTTAATGCTTCCCCTTGGGATAATGACAAAAACGGAAGATGGCAAGCGACCAGGAATATGCCACTTACTCAGAAACGGGAGAAACCTTCAAGGACAAGGGCTGTCAAGTCCTATCAGTGTCGCTGGAGGAGGAGAGGGGGGGATGGAGGGCCGTGGAGCGCATCCCCGGCGCCCCCGAGCAGGCAGGCGCAGGATGCGGCGGGGCTGAGCCCGCAGTGCCCGGCGATGCTCGGGCTGTGCCCGCCGATGACAGCCCGGCACGGCGGCGTGGCCCTGCTGCAAATTACTTCATAATCACCCTCCGCAAAGATCCGGCTCCTCGCTCGCCCTCCCCTGCTCTTTCTGTTTATGTAAGAACAATGGGGATCCTAAGGAAAAGAGAAAGAAGGAAGGAAAAAAAAAAAAAAAAAAAAAAAAAAAAAAAAAAAAAAAAGCAGCTTTGCAGCGCTGTGGGGTTTGTGTTGTGTTTGTGTCCCTGCCATGCCTGCCAGAAATCCAAACCCGTACAGGAGGAACAGTGAAATATCCCCGTTTAATCTGATCTGGTCACATCAGCATGTGCTGCAAAACCACACGCACATGCCAGAGCAGCTCTCTGCCCTTCTCCTCCTCTTCCTTACAGCCCTGCACTTTGGGGAATAACTGCATTTTATCTACAGCTCCTCACCATCCATTCTGAGTTGTTATTATGTGTCTGCTATTTTGAATTATTAGCACATGGAGGATTCAGAAATGTAAAAGGCTTTTCCAATGGGATACCGTGTTACGGCAGTGCTAAACAAACTCAAACACCAAAAATAAGACAGAAACATCTGTCCTTTGAAAAGCAGAATATTTTCTGTGTAATAGTTTATTCTTTTCAAAGGAAACTGTGATCAGTACATGTACCATGTCCAAACTACAACTTCAAATTCCCTACCTCAAACCATTCAATCCTGAGAGTGACTGAATGCAAGAAAAAACCTCTCTCTATTTTTTTTCTTTTTTTTCTTTTTTTTTTTTTTTTTTTTTTTTGGTTGAAGAATGTGTAAAACAGCACAGATAAAAGTTGGGATGTGTTCTGTAGCATCCTAGGACAGCAGTGGCTCATGGTTTGCCTGTGCCTTGGCCAGGGTGGGCAGGAGCACCTCCCTGAGCAATAATAGGAGTAGCTGTGCTGATGCTCTGTCATCCTGCCTTACTCGCTGCTCAGAATATCAATTCAGCCAGTTAAACCAAAAGTCTGCACTGCACCAAAATGGAAGCTATTTAAAAAAAAAAAAAAAAAAGTGCTGGGATCATTGATCAGGAGTTTTATCTATGCTGATCAATTTTTTCTTAACGAAGTAAAATGTAAATCAGGGCTAGGATCAATGCAGAATTTTCTCATGTGAGACTGCCTTTATCATTAGGAAGCTACAGGCAATTACACGCATGCCAGGACACCAGATGCAGTGACTTTGGGTTATATTAAGCAGAGAGACGTGTCCCCTTTTCAGAACAAGTTTTCAGTACAAACTGCAGCTGTGAGGAGTTTGCAGTGCAGCTCAAACTGAATCCCAGCACTGAACAAAGCAGTGCTCCAGTTAAATGTCTTGTGCTGAGGTCCCAGACCCATAAATGCTGGTGACCTCTACTGCTCTGTCAGAAAAGCAGGAAGATACTGAGACATCTGCAATTATCTGGCTACTGACATTCTTTTTTTTTTTTTTTGATAGAAATTTTGAAGATAATTTGAAAAGCAATAGAAGGTTGATTGACACAGTACCAAAATATATTAAAGAAGATTTTTTTCTTACTCTGTCTTTCCTGAAGGAAGAGAGGACTGGCTTAAAGAAATTCAGCACAGCATAAAAAACTTGTTCCACACATTTGGCTGTTGCCTGTTTGAGGAGGGCTGCTCTCAAAGACTTTGTGTCATACTACAGGAACTTCAGGCCAGAGACAGAACCATAAGGTCCATATCAGAAAAAAACTCTAATTCTTATTCTTAATTAACAGAATAGGCAAGGGAATAAGAGGAGGAGAAAAATTACCCAAAAAAAAGGTGTTCAAAAGGGAAAGAAAACCTTACTTTGAACATTTCATTAAATACCAAACCCAAGCAACTTTGCACATGAACATTCCCAGTGCTCACTCACCCCAGGCCCCCAAAGCCCCAGAGCACATGGGGAGATGGCCAAGCCAGGAAGATTTGGGGAGGTTTGTTTGGAGCCTGCTCACAGGGCTGTGTTGGTTCTACCTCCACCACCACTCTGCCATCCTGCAGCCCAGGCCAAGCTTTAATGCTGATCTCCATCCTGGAGGATGCAAATCCTGGAGGGGGAGCTGAGCTCCCAAGCCTTGGATTCATGCGCACGCTGGAGCCTGCCCTGGGTGTGCATCAAGGAGCTCAGAATAAAGAGACAACCTCATGTTTGCCCTCATTTAAAGCTCCCAAGTGGAAACTCTTCAGAAATGGCCCAAACCTGAGCCCCAGCACTGCTGGGACAGGGCCAGGAGTTCTCTGGTTCCAGGCTGACACCTGCTCAGTGCCCTCAGTTACAAGAGCCCAAAATCCCAGGGAATACCTGCTACCCCCAACCAGAGCTAAAAACAGCAATTCCACCTCAAAACTTGGCCAGCCAGTAAAGAGCACCTCTAGGAACACTCTGAGCTCAGATTTTAAAGGGTTGGGGGGCTATTATTATTACTTTTTGGACACAACCGTGAAAATATTAACATTTCCCAGCCTGGCCTCCAGCATGTGCAGCTCAAAATGGCTGCAACGTTGGCTGATGCTTTTTTGAGATATTTCATCATCAAATTTAATAGCAAAGCCCTGCAAAGCAAGACACCATCCCAAATGAGGGTTTGTCAGCACATCTTCATGCCTATTAAAGCATCCAGCAGCATGTTATTTAGCTCTGACAGAAAAACAATTTAACACCTTAACTTGGGGGCAAGGAGCGGAAATGGAGCAGAAAAATGGAATGGAAAATAGAAAGATGCTCTTTGGGATTAAGTTTAAAAAATACAACAACGCTTACAGGATAGAGAAGGAATGAGACTTTAGATGTTGAGCTTGAGCTGCAACTTGAAAAAATTGTTTCCCCAGTAAAACTTCAACTGACAATTTATATTCAGAGGCAAAAGAGCCTACCTAATCTCTTTGGAGAAAATTGTAATTCTGTATGTGCTGGTGATAGACATCACAAGCACATTTCAAGGTCTTTATGAGATAATTAATGACAGGAAACACAGGAACATAATTTTAATTCCTCTTTCAGGATTTTGGGGACCAAGACCTCCTTTCCAGTGAGGTTGTCCAATCAGAGGAACAGCACTGGAAAGCAGCAACAGATTTCTAATATTTTCCTAATCACAACCCAGATCCTTAAACTAGAACAGCAGACTGGCAGCCTCTCATATTTTTAAACCTCATTTGCTACGTTTTTCAAAACAAGAATTAAATCTGTTTTCAGATTCGGTGTCTCTCCAGTTTGGGAACACAGAGCAGTAATATTTCTGCAAGGAAACAGCTTGTGCTCCCAAACTGTGCAAACATGTTGTTATCCTGGGAAGCAACACGACCTAATAAAAGGAGTGGAGGAGAGGGACCTCAGAACAGTCACATTCAAGGACTTGCCCTGCTGTTTCCTGACTGGGAGATGTTAGTAGGTCACTTGATCCCACTGTGCTTCAATTTCCCTAACTATAAAGTCAGTGTATTCCCGAGTTTAAATTACAGCTCTCTGGAGCTGGTTGCTTGGTTAACCCTTCCCTGCCCTTGGGGCAAGGTGTTGGGCTCACCTGGCTGTGCTGGGGGAAGTTCTGGAGCTAATCTGGGCACAGGGCTTGGGCTGGGAGAGTCCCAGAGCTGCCACCCAAGCCCAGCCATTCGCTGTGAGATTTAAACCTCAGGAACTCACCATTGCCTTGAACTCTTTATTTTATCTGCCACATTTATTTTCCTGTACAAATTGCCACTTGCTCTTACTGATAAATTATTGCAGCTCACTTCCTTGACCAGCATCCCAACTTTCTCAATATCTGAAAGTAAAACTACCAGCCAGCCAGAACTGCAGTTCTCCCCTCACCTTCAATCTCCACCAGCTGATATCTACAAATATCCCCATTTTTCTTCTTTCACCATCTAAAAGCCATGCCCACAAAGAGCAGGTGCCTGCAAGGCTGGGCTCCCATTGCTGTCCCCTCCTTGACACAGGTTTAAAGCTCAGAAAACAACTCCAGGCTCCCAGGATCACCCAAGCAGGAAGAGAAATCTTTAGGCTCTTGCAACAACAACAAAAAAAAACCTCAAAAAGCCAAGGAAGAAGCATTCATTAGCCTGAGCTTCCCAGTAAAGCTTAGGTAAACCTGGCTCACTGCCACAGCCTAGGCACAGCAATGACAGAGAAGCATCTTAGCAGCCTCCTCCAAAGGGATCTGCCCTGGCCAGAGTGAGGATCTGCAAGATCTGACACAGCTAAACCCAAACCCATGGCTGAAATCAGCTTCCCAACAGCCTAAGCCAGGCCTAAGAATACAAAACCTTACACCAGCACTCAACCCTCTTTCTGCTTACAGACAGACTCTGCCCTCTCACATGCAGAGGAGAGG